ATTCCGTTCCCAGCAATTTTTTCAGAGATGGGACTCGCCAACGGCTGAAACGTTTGGGGCTGGGCCGCTGTTGATAAATTTCATCGGCCGCCGTTGCCATGTTTCGGGTCTCCGAAAGTCGCGGTGAGCGGCCCACGGCCGATGTGAGGGTGAGGTACTCGTCGTTTAACAGTCCGACGACTCTGACCCAAAGCTGTTATATTCATTCTCTCTCATGTCTATCCACAAAGAAAGAGTTACCCAAGTTCTATTAACCAGCCATTCTCCAACTTGTCCTTGATTTCCCATGATGGGATTGCCCACCTCCTTCTTGTCCATGCATTTTCCTCTTTTTTCTCTTCCCCTCCCCACCACCTCCCCTAAGAAAAAGGAACAAAAGAAAATAAAAAAAAAGAAAAACGATTTCCCAACTTCTATCAATCAACAATGGGCTGCAAGTCCTTCGGAACATCCGTTAAAATTGGAACGATACAGAGAAGATTAGCATGGTCCCTGCGCCTATGCATCGCCTCAAATCAACACGCATAAATCAAGAAATGGTAAAAAAAAAAAAAAAACAATGGGCTGCAAGCCTGCAACATCTGAGGCAGTGCCTATGCATCGCCTCAAATCTGCTGCAGACCAGAAAAAAGGTCTCTAGTGCACCTCAGCACCAAAGACGCCTAGCTATTAATGCCGACCCTAAATATGCCGTGTGCACCCCGAAAACAAAATGAAGCGACGTGGCCTTCTTTTGGCTGGCGCCCCCAGCCATTTGGGTTCGGTACCCAACCCCCCGAAAAATGCGGCCATAAACGAGCCGTGACTTTGTTCCTCAAGTGGGGAAAGGTACTTGGCCCAGCTATAGTTGCCGAGCCTGGAATCCCCCTGCGCGCCAATTTTTGCCGAGGCGCCAGGGTACCGTTTCAAATTTTTTTGGCTGGCGTTTCCAGCCATTGAGGTCCGGTACCCCGAAGCCCGAACTCTGCGTAGCGTTAACGGCAACGGCCCGCGGCCGATGTATGGGCCAAGTACTGGTGGTTTAAGCTGCCGACCAAAAAAAAGCTCTCTAGATGTAGGTCAGCTGCATCTTTGGGGCTAAGATCACCATCCCCCCTTGAATCTTTGGCGGCGTGCCACACCACTCTGCATTTCTGTGTTTTGTTCTTTTTTTTTCACAAATTGCATGCCTATCCCTTGTGACCCTTTTTCCAGAGATACTAGGCTGACCAAACCTGACTTATATCTTTCCCGCGCACAGTAGCTGCATTAGCTTCCATAGACCACTGAACTGCTCTCTAGCATAATGTCCCTTACACTGTATTGTCGACTGCTAGGGATACGCCAAAAGATAGAGGACCACCATGCTCCTTCTTCCTCAACTGTGTTTAAAGCAGCAGTATTTCCCAAAGCCGTGCCCGTATACAAGCCATGATTTTAGGAGACGTATGGGGCCTAAGGTATACAAGCCCACCCAAATTCATCCGACTTCAAGCGTCTCTACTCTATTTTTTTCCGCAGCCTATAGCTGGGCCAAGTACTGGTGCCTTAAACCACCAGCACACCCGGGCCTCGGAGGCTGTGCAATGTGTGCCAAAATTTTCCAAACTGCCGCATCCGCACTTATTTTCTTTTTTGGCTGATGCTGCCAGCACTTGTGGTGGGGGTGCTGGCGGTCCAGTACCCCCGAGGCCTGGCAGTACTTCCTAAAGCCGTGCCCGTTAACAAGGCATTTATTTCAGGAAACGTATGGGCCATTAAGGGAGCGCCCAAATTCATCCGACTAAAAACTTTTCTACTCTATTTTTTTCCACGGCCGATAGCTGGGCCAAGTACTGGTGGTTTAAGGTTTGTGCATTTTTAGTTTTTTTTTTTTTTCAGTTTCAATTACAACCCTGGTCCAAAAGGGTAGTCTATTCAAATTCTTTTTAAGCTGCCAGTACAGGCCGGCGGCTGCCATTCTTGTGGAGAAATCTTTCATCACCTACAAAATTTGGGAGGCTCGGGAGTACCAAACCCCAATGGGTCGCAGAGCCAGCCAAAAAAGAAAGAAAAAGAACTTGCACGGCTGGTGGTTCCGAGCCGGCAAAGCTTGGTGTGCAGTGGAAGGCGGCCAGACCCGGCTGTAACAGCGGTACCTTCTCCATATATCGGCCGAGGGACGCTCACCACGACTTTCGGAGGGCAGAAACGCAACAAAGGCTGCTGATGAAATTTATCAAGGGTGGCCCGGCCCCAACTTGAAGTTGGGGCAGCTGACGAACCCCACATATTTGTTTTTCAAGCGGGGAAACGAACCATGACTGGCGGTATACTAAATCTTGTGTGAACTACTGGAAATAGGTTCCCTGCAAATGAACAGGATAAGAATCACGCCAGTACGGTCTTTTTTTTTTTTTTTTTTTTTTTTTTTTTTTGGTTCCGGAGGAAAACCTTTTCCCAAGCCCACTATCCTCGCGGTTGTAAGAAAACCGCGGGGATTGAGGACTTGTCAATTGGGCTGCTCCAACTATTGGCGGGGAGCGGCACTGCGGTCTTTTCTTCGCACTCTTCATATTACGAATCTCAGATTGCTTCTTTTTCTCCACTGCTTGCTTTGTGTCTACTGTGCCTGCCACGCGCTCTCGCTGCGTGCAAAACCCCTCCCCTTGCTTTGCATCTGATGCGCAAGTTCGCCACACCAATTTTTTCCCCATCTTACAATCTTTCGTCGTTTTCGTAAAGATCAGGACCAATCCTATGGGCCTGATTTTTCTGCAGATTTTTTCACACAAAAGTATCCGCATGAAATGGTGAAATATAATTCAAATATTGTATTATTGTCAAAGAAAAGGTGGGGGGGGGGGGGAGTCAAAGTCAACGCATGCAACTGCCTTTTCTTGTAAAAAAACGGAGGCCTGACGCCCACACGCCCTTCCCCCCCCTGAGGCACATTCACAGGAGTTCCATTTTTAAATCGTCGGGATCTTGGGATGACTGATGTTTTTTTCTGAAAAAAAAAAAAAAAAACAAAAAAAAAAAAACCAGTTCTATTTAGCTGACCTCCACAAAGGAGGAGGTAAGTGGGCACATAAAACCCACCTCAAACCACCCCGGCCCACCAGCAAATCGCAAAAGTCCTGGCGTGCCTGCGCTGGTCACAGGGGCTGGCTTTCAAGTTGGATCGTTTTGATGCAAAAAAAAAATTCACAAAACAGGGGTGTCGTTGCCCGGTCTGCACAAGTTGGAATGCACCGAGTTTGGCAATTTTTGCGCTCAACAGCTTTCGCAAAACATTCAGAAAATAAAAATAGGTGCATTGTACTGCATACAGTGAGAGCTGATCGCTTTGGGAAGCAGACATATTTTTGCTCCCTACCCCCCCCACCAAAAAAAAGGCCAAAACGAAATGATCCTGTTCGACAGAAAACTCATTGGGGTGGCGAAGTAGACATATTTTTGCTCCTTAACCCCCCCCAAAAAAAACAAAACAAAATTATGATCCTCCTCGGCAGAAAGCTCATTCGGGTGGGAAAGTACACATCCTNATGGCAGGCGGACCTCCCCCGCAGAAGCTCGCCGCGCCACACATCGAACTCCAGCGGCGTTTTCCCGCTAAACAATCAGACTCCCGCCGTTTTCATCCGTCGATCAGGAAGATCAACGAGCAGCAAAAGTCGACAACAGATCCTGGCAAGGAACAATCGCGAGCTCGCCCCTCCAGACAGCACACATCACAACCAAAAACATATCCCCCCCCCCCCCCCCAAAAAAAAAAGGCCAAAACAAAATGATCCTGCTCGACAGAAACTCATGCGGGTGGCGAAGTAGACATATTTTTGCTCCCGAACCCCCCCCAAAAAAACAAAACAAAATGATCCTCCTCGACAGAAAACTCAGTCGGGTGGCAAGGTAGACATAATTTTTGCTCCCCACCTCTCCCCCCCAAAGAAAAACAGAGTTCCCTGCTGCTACAGGTAGGCACAAAACTTATGGCTGTTAGTCCTCCAGGCTCGGGAAAGCGTGATGGTTAAGAAGTTTTCTTTCGGGGCAGTGGTGGGTTAGGATGATTTGGAATAAGAGGAAGGACAAAAAAAGAGGGGGATGTTTTGGAGTTTGGACAGAAAAATGCCACGGGAAACATTAGGGGAGGACCACATACGCATCAAGACCTGTGTCGGGACCAACATTCAGACCCATAACTGGACCCGGATTAGGACCTACTTAGTGACCCATATTTGGACCTAGCTCCAGACCCATATTTGGACCCAGCTTCGGACCCATATTCAAACCACATTTGAACCCATATTTGCAGCCATATTCAAACTTCAAACCCGTATTTGGATCCACACGAGAACCCATATTTGGACCCGCATCGGACCCCTATTCGGACCCATATTATGACCCATATTATGACCCATACTGGAACCAAGATTCGAACCATATAAAGACCCACATTAGCAGCCACGTTAGAGTCGGTTAGACCAATATTACCACTGGGCCCATGTTAGGGCACAAATTACAACCATGATTGGGACGACTCATGGGAGGCCTTTGAGGAAAAGTCTGGGTTGTTGCATTAAGTCCGGATTTTTTTATTTTTGTTTTCTTCGCAGAAAGCCCAGATGTCGAGGTAAAGTTCTTACTTGAAAAAAAAAAATCCATTCTCGAAGCATATCATTCAATTGGAAAATAACATAAAATGATAAAAATGTAATTGGCTAACCACATGGGAAGAGAGCATGGAAGTCAGGCCACTGCTACTCATAGCTTTTGCTTATTTCTTAAATGGGGTCAGAGAGTGGCAACTGCTCCAGAGCATAATCACAGTACCGGGTAGCGATTTTCAGATATTGGAGTTCGCGCTTGGAGGCAATGATTAGAAAAAATGAGCTTCAATGCAGCATGCTTTATACCCGGGGGTGTCGGCATGCAAAACCCCCTTGAGCTACGGCTTGAAGGGTACTTACTTGGTTGATGTGACTGGGTACTCCGGGTCATGGCTGTATGTGATGTACTGACCATGCTGGGGTCCTTAACTTTCATCCCAGCTCACTTTGTTTTGTGGTAAGCATTCTGATTTTCAATCAGCAGGTTGCAGGTTCGATGCCTGGACGGAGCGATTGCGATTTTCAGATATTGGAGTTCGCGCTTGGAGGCAATGATTAAAAAAATGAGCTTACCGTTATCTCAGTTAGGTGCATTCAAAAAAATGGTTGTGGTGGGATACGCCATACTCGCAGGCAGAGGAAGAAAACCAATGCAATACTGAGCAAGGAGTTGGAACAGTTTCTTGCCCTCCCGCCTTTACCTCCTTACGCCCCCCCAACACCACACAAATGCCATACACCCCAAATTCCTTGAAAGACCAGGAACCAGAAGCAGGGCCAACTTCAATTAACATATGAGAGGAGCCAGCGGGGGGCCAAAGAAAAAGGAGCGTAACGGAAAAGCAGCCTCTCTCTCTCTCTCTCTCTCTCTCTCTCTCTCTCTCTCTCTCTCTCTCTCTCTCACACACACACACACACACACACACACACACACACACACACACACACACACACACACACAACTGAGCATACAATCTCTCTCTCCCTTCCTCTCATAGCAAACTCCCTCTCTCTCTATATCGCTACAATGTGAACGATTATGACAAATCCATTCACACACATGCATATACACAAAGATACGCTCCCCTCTCCTGCCTATACTAGGTCTCTAAGTCTTATCACTCAATTGTCAGCATTGTGGCGGTTCCAACTACTGCCCTGCATGTGAAGCCAGCCAGCCAGAGTGTCATCTGTCTGAAGAAGAACCTTGCCTTGCCTTGGCAACACACATAAATCGATAATTTTTTAAAGAATAAAAAAAAAAGAAAAAAACAATGCTTGCGTGCTTGGCCAACAGTTCCCAAAGGATCAAGAAAGGAGAGAGTTTTCCGCAGCTCGTGATAATTCCGAAAGCACGACCAAGTGACCACTCTAGTCTCTGCAGTTGTGCAGCATTGCAGGCTTATTGTAACACTCCCAAGTTGCGGCCAAGCGCCAATGATTTAGGCTGTTGTGCTCTCTTAATGGCAGATCTGCAGCCAATTCAAGTCACAAGAGTAATAGTCCAAGAGGAGGAGAAAAAAGGAGCAAACACAACCAATGAGCCTTGCTCAGTTGTGGTACACCCCTGAACTGAACTCGAGCCTGTTGAAAAACAGACCCAAGTTTGAATCCAGATGCAATCGGATGCACAGAATAAAAATTATAAAACTGATTCTGAATTACCTCGGGCTAGTCAGTTCAATGATGATTGCCATCATCCATACCCTAAAAAGAAAAGAAAAAAAAAAAGGCCCAGCGGGAGACGAACAAACAGGAGGGGAAAAAGGTGTTAAAAAAGGGGTGGGTGGGGGAAGAGAGGAAAGCGGACTGGGTGTGGAAAGAGTGGAAAGACAAGGAATACGCATTCCTTCCATTCCTTTCACATTCAGTTCTCTTCTTCTTCTTCTTCTTCTTCTTCTTCTTCGTCGTCGTCGTCGTCGTCGTCGTCTTCGTCTTCTTCTACTACTTCTTCGTCGTCTTCGTCTTCGTCTTCTTCTTCTTCTTCTTCTTCTTCTTCTTCTTCTTCCTTTTTCTTTTCCTTTTGAATTAAATTTCACAATTATTGTACTACAACGTTTGCTTCTCTGCAGAAACATAGAGACTCAGAAACGGACAGAGAGAACAAAAAAAGTAAAAAAAACAGAGATGGTGATGGACTGCGTCGGTGGACATTCACCAACTCATCCGGACGCTCAACCCCCTCCACGGTCTACAACCATACCTACCCTTCCCTCCTCTCGCTTGACCCAAAATCAGAGTGAGCTCCCTCCCTCCCTCCCGAGGCTATCAGTTCACACCGCCCCAAGCAGCCAGCAAAAAGCCTTGAGCGAAACAAAGAAAGGTCTCTGTCGCACCAGAAAAAGAAACCCTCTAGACATGCACAGCTCGCGCAGACGCGTCGCCTGGCTGCCAGCAACAGCTGCCACCATTTTTGTGCTATGTGCTGCTTGCTGCACACACACACACACACACACACACACACACACACACACACACACACACACACACACAGCAACCAGCAAACCCTCAAATGAAAAAAAAGAAAGGTCTCTGTTGCACCAGACAAAAAAACCCTCTGTTGCACCAGACAAAAAAACCCTCGAGACAAGCGCAGCTTGCACAGATCCATGGCCTGGATGCCACCGACAGCTGCCACCACTTGCGTGCTATGCGTTGCCATGAACCAGAGGCAGAAAAAGGGGAGCAAGGGACACGAAATGGGGAGCTGGGAGAGACTGTTTCATAGGAGTTTCGATGACTCATCAGGGTGCAGCGGAACCCTTCCTCGACAGTCTGCACAGTCCCCTAGC